ATTACCTGGCAAAGATTCACACAGGTCCATCACTACTCTGGCCCCTAAATTCTCCTCTGTTCCATTATCAATCCTTCCAGTATAAAACTGAAATTCATACATATAACCTGTACGGGAATCAGCCCTCACCCAACATTTGTATCCACGTTTAATGGGCTTTTTAGGCATGTATTGTTTCATATGACTACGGCCTTTAAACCTTATCATACTTTCATCAATTGAATTAAATTCAGAGACTTTTACATTTTCCTTAAAAGTTTTGTTCAGAACTTCAATAGCAGGTCTAATTTTCGACAATTTATCATAATTTGGGGTGTTTTGTGAAGCTTCAGTAATAATGTTTGATATGTGAAGGTTTTGTGTTATTTTTTTGAATCTTTTTAATGGCATAGGTTTGCTTATGACTGGGTTTCTGTAAAATTCATCTGTCGACCAATATGTAGTTATATCGGACAAGGGATTTATACTCATCAGTATAATCATACCAAAGTATGCTTTTATCTCTTCTTTCGTAACATTTTTCCAAGATTTAGCATTTTTGTGATGTGCATAAATATTTGTGTTCTCAACTATTACATCAATCAAGTCTTCTGGAAAATAATCAATGAAATAATCAAGCGGTTGACTTCGGTTAGTGTATAGTTTCTTAACTTGCATTTCTCTGTGAAAACTAGGCCAATTAATATTCTCAGCTGTAAAAGACCAATTTCTTGCCTTATTTTGTAACTGACTAAATGTATCTCTACAAAAAACTGATTTTGGTTCAGGATGATTTTGTTCACCTGGCAAAGAATTGTTTGGTATTGAAGCAGTGCCTGCTTGGACTTCATTCAATGGTAATGAAGAAGGGCCTGCTTGTCTTTCATCCAATGGTAATGAAGAAGGGCCGGCTTGTCTTTCTAAAGCTATCAAAGGAGTACCTGCTTGAGATTCTACCATTGTAACATCTTGTGGTATTGAACCAATATTTACCATTGTTTCTGGGACAGTAAACTCTTGAATTGTGATACTTTCTTGGACTTGTTGTTCATGTGATACTGGTGAAGTAATATGTGTTTCATCTTGTATTGACGAAAAATCAGACTCACCCAACAGTATACTATGTAAACCTTCAGTCGTTAGATTTTGAATTTCGTCCAACCGTCGGTCGTAATCCACCGAGTAAAAATCTGTGGCACAAGAATCAAATACATCATCATCAAACCCTTCTTCTTCCGATGAAAACAAGGCAGCCAATTGACCTTCAATTTCCGAATCTTTAAGAGGTTTCTGAAAAGTAAAACGCACAAAATGGATATCGAAAATAGTACATTTGTTACAGGGAAACAGTTTCCCACTTGGTTTTTACATACGCGAACCTAAACGGGCAACATGAAAATATTTCCCACACATTTTCAACGCCTAAAACTCAAGTATCAATTGTTTATTTGGCTTATAAAAATGATAAACAAGTAAACTAACTCAAAACCTAATGAAAATTATTTGAAATAAACACTTACCGAATTTTTTCTCGACATTATTACAATAATTGTGCAAACAACCGGTAAACATCAGCAAATTCATTGACGATCTTGCCAACTTTGACTTTGACAGATGTTTTTTTTTTCTGCGTTCCATTTTACGGTGTGCGTTTGGCACAGACCATAAATTACTTATTAAAAAAAAAGTAGAAGTGACATTTTGTGGGAACAGTTTACTTATTGACCGTTCACAACACGAAATATTATGTGGGAATAATATTCCTCTTGCCCAATTAAGGGTTAATGCCACTGTACAATGTAACACCCACTTTTCACTATTTCTGTGAGCCTATAGCCATATGCCGGGCACATTTTACAATATTGTTTTTTTAAATATTGTTGGGACATTTAGCTCAAGAATATATGGGGTTATTGTTAATTAAACAACTATTAGTCATGGTGGCCCGGAGTTTTAAGACGCCCGCTTCTTATGCATGAGAATGAGGTCTTGAAACCTACCAACAGCAAGTACCAATGTGACTTTTTCCGAGTTATATATACTTTCTAAGATTATCTAGACACCACTGACAAACGGTAAAGTTAAACATCGTGAGGAAACCTGGGTTTATATTATTACTTATTATAAGTTTGAAACCGCCAAAGCGCATTGAGGAAGCGTGGTGATTAATGCTCAAATCTTTTCCGTGCGTGAAGAGGCTTTTGTGGTCATTTATAGGCTGTTGATGATGATGATGAACCAACTTCACAGGACAGGTATTACAAACATCATTTTCCTTTTTCTTGTACTAGATGCTGATACGCTTTGGGCCTTTTTGGGGGGTTAGGGATTAAGGGATTTGGCTTGGAGAAGAGAGGAATAAAAAATATTTTTATGTGTTACTTGTGTGACCATCTGCACCATGCAAGGCATCCAATGTAAGATCATATTTCCTTTTCACACCACATAGGAACTACCACAAGATGAAGAGCAATACTGTCAGCGTTGTGACGTTAAGTTTAAGACGATGAAGGCATACGAGGAACATCTCAAACATTCAGCCGAGCATGTGGATGGGATCAAGTGAGTAATTCATATAACGTCAAGTCTTATAATAATAACCTTTGAACTGTCGGCCAGCCTCTAGGAGGTCGATGCCAAAAGCCAAAAAGCGCACGTCTGTCATCGTGACCGATATTTTAATGTTTTAACTGTAACACTGCTCTAACCTATTGGAACGTGTAAGGAAAAGACAAGGAATGATGTAACGTCTTAATTTTCAACAAAACCGCTTGAAGACGGCCGGCGGCCGGCTTTATATTCTTTTTAGTCTCTTCAGTGGCGTAGTTCGTGTCGTCGAAGTATTGATGAAGTTATCGAAGTTCTTTCGTTTTATTTCAGTTTGTTTTAGTGTGTTTTAGTGAAATTAGCTGAATTGTTGGATGGGTAAGTAATAACCTGAGTTTAATTAATGGTTTTTTTTTTAAGGGGGGAAAATCATCGAATGACTGCTCCCGCCTGGGTGAGGCGGAAGGGAGTGTCAGACTCTTACTGACTAAAAACCACCCCGTTCCTTCTCCTGCACGTCGAGCCGGAGCCCCGGTTACCCGTTAGGTTCTCCGCGACTCCGAATCGGCATCGGCCCTATTGGGCCCCATCTGTGGTGGTCTGATGGCTCTTTGAGGCGCGCGCGGAACGCGACGCGCCGTACGCTCGGGTCTGTTTCTGGTCGGACGGGGAGCCACCCATGCTCGCCGTCCGCAGGCCCGCGCTTACGGTGGCCGGAGATCGTCCCGCGATCCCCGACGCCCGGTGTGTCCTTCGCGATGGCTGGGTTGCGAGGAGGCAGCGCTTCGCTGCCTCACGCGTCCCGCCTCCTCCTTAGCTAGCATGACTGCTTCGCAAAAGGAGGAGACGGCATCCCAGTCCCCCTCGCTCCGCATCATGGCCTGCACTAGGCCTGGACGCGAGAGGTCGCCATCGCCGATCACTTCCCTGAGGGCACGGCGGTGCTCAGCCCACGCAGGGCATTCTCCCACTGTGTGTTCCACCGTGTCCTCAGGGCGGTCCTCGCAGTGATGACACCCGGGCGTTTCCTCCCGCCCCATCAGACACAGGTACCTCCCGAAACTTCCATGTCCGGTGAGGACCTGCGTCAGGCGGTAGGTGAGGACGCCGTAGCGTCTCTCAAGCCACTCCTCAAAGAGGGGACTTACCGCTGCAATGGCAGCGAACCCAGCCCTCGGTTGCGACAGTCGTTGCTGCCATTCCGCCATGAGATCGCGCCGGAGGTCTTCCTGCCACGCACTTATCTGGCGCGGTAGCGGAGTTTCGCCCCGGCGACGTGCTTCCGTGCGCAGACGATACACGCGCGCAAGCATCTTCGCCTCCAGATCCCACGGCGGTAATCCGGCAAGGAGGTTCGCCGCCTCCCCGGAGTTCATGCGGTATCCGCGGATCATTTGGATTGCCGTGACCCTCTGTGACGTGAGCAGCGCTGCCGCCGCATCGGGTTCAGCGCCCACACAGGGGCGCTGTAGAGGGCCATGGAGCGCACGACCCCGGCGTATAACCTCCGGCAGGAGGCGTTTGGTCCCCCGAGGTTAGGAGGCGTTTAAGCGCCACTCCCGTTCTTTCCAACTATGGAGCCAAACGTCGGAAGTGCTCCACGGAGTTCCACCGACTGTCGAGGACGAGTCCTAGGTACTTCATCACTGTCTCGACGCCGTTGGTAACCCCACCCGCCGTTATTTGGAACTCATCCGGAAGTGGCGCGTTCCTGCGGCCATGAAACAACATGGCCTCGGACTTGTGGAGCGCCACCTCGAGTCCCAATTGCTGGTTTCTCTCAACGACTGCAAACGCTATCGCCATAAATCGGCCGCAGCCTGGTGTGACCTCCCGTGCGCCAGCACTAGCGTGTCGTCGGTGTAGCAAATGATGCTAACGCCGCTCGGGAGGTCGGTGCGCAGCAACCAGTCATAGCCGATTTACCACAGGAGCGGCCCCAGAACCGATTCCTGTGAAACACCGCGTGACATCTCTCGCCGGCTCCACTCGCCCCGGTGACCGGGTAGCTGACGGACCGTCAGGTAGGCCTCGATTACACGACGGAGATAGGTAGGCACCCGATGATATCAGAGTGCCTCCAAAATGCAGCTCCAGGGCAGGGAGTTGAAGGTTGTCCACTACCGACCCGCCCTGCATCTGCACGCACGTGGGGAGAGAACCCCGGTTCAGGACGACTAGGCCTGCCTCAAGGGCCCAATCTTCCTCCATCCTACCCCAGACGTTGCGTCGGTGAATCGGGACCCCAAGCCAAGTTGACTGCTTCACAAAAGGAGGAGACGGCATTCCAGTCCTCCTCGTCCTCCATCATAACCCGGACTAGGGCCGGACGTGAGAGTGGGAAGTAAAAGTCACCGAAATATTTTTAATATAAACGTTTACTAAAGAAGTCAAAAACAGTGTTAAAGCAGAAATAATTAATTTTTATTTACACTCCCATATTACAATATTGTATTTGTAATACAAATAAACAATCATCGCCACCGATCAACTTTATGATTTTCTTCCGAATCGTCATTGATTATTCTGTAATCTTCTATGTCTAATTGATTTACTGGCACTTTTCTTCTGTTTCTGCAATATAGAATTATGATAATATTAAGTAAATGTTATATGCTACAACGACCGCGTAGTCTCAATAGAATACAGTCACTACCCCTACTGTCAGAAGACTGTCTTTGGGTGCATTTCCATAGTGCATACAGGGATAGTCGCCCGTTTGTGTGTCCATCCATTACATTTAGATTAAAGTTGTCTAAACAGCCTCTGCTTACCTCTTCGGATACGGTTGTTTCAGATGGAACGTGCGATAATGCAGTTGCATACTAGATTTTTGCGTGAACCGTTTCTGACACATTGAACATTCGTATGGCTTTTCACCGGTGTGGGTCTGTAATAGCATAATCAAACATTGAATTACAATCGATATTGAAGCCAAAAATTTAGTTTTGTTTGTTTGTCTGGGCTAAACTCAAAAAGTACTGCATGGATTCACTTGAAATGACAATGCCAGTCCTGACCCAGTCATGCTATCATTTATAAAAAAAAGTAAATTGCTGAAAATAATTTTGACGAATAAGGAACCTTTTCACAATAAATCTTTTTATTTTTAAACTTCAATAAAAAAAGAAGTTCAATCCCGGAAAACTTTTTTGCCATTCGCATTCCATATTTTCTAATGACTATTTGCGTTTCATCATACGCATGAACGCATCGCTTGTACGAAACTAAGAAAATAAAAAATAAAAAAGTAAGTAACTGTAAAAAAGATATCATTATACATAAAATATTATATCAAGAGTATAATTATGCATAACATTAATTTATTTGTTAATGATCACAGATGGAATTGCGAACAATCACGAAAATAAAAAAGAAATGATTACTATCATTAGTTATGATTTTTGTGTAACGAAATGTTTTGAAGCGCTCGTCAGCTGTCAGCTGTTAGTGTCATTATTATCTTTCATTCGCTCTCTGCGTTTCCGTTGTTTTCCGCGTTATGTTGTCATTATTGTTTTGTGTTTTAAACAAAAACAACAAGTTTACAGGTTTCAGGACAAATGTTTTGGTATCGGTAATTAATACACAACACGATGCTGAATACTGCATACTTGTACATGACTTCTAATATAGTGGGTCAAGATGTACCGAGGACCTGGCATCGTCCTTTTGCATGAATATTACTAACAGGTCGGGTCAACATAATAATATAGGCTACATATTATTACGTTATCATCTAGCTGTGAATAAATATCCAAAGTCATATTTCCACGCGGTCGATGCCACTGGCAGAAGTTAGCAAATTATATTTTCTTACCAGTTGATGTCTATTCATGCTTCCTTTACTATTGAACTGCGTGTGGCATATAGCGCAAGTGTATAGTTTCTCGCGCGTATGTGTGTTTAGATGACTTGCTACGCTACTTGCCTGTGGACAAAGAACAATATTATCCAAACGAAATGTGTCAAAATACGTGCCACTCAAGGTGACGGTTCATTTTTTTTGTATTGTATTCGGCATCTTTCACTGAAAATGAACCGTCTGAACTCAGAATGAAACGAGTACTTTTTTTATTTTTTAAGGGGGGAAAATCATCGAATGGCTGCTCCCGCCTGGGTGAGGCGGGAGGTAGTGCCAGACTCTTACTGACTAAAAACCACCTCGTTCCTTCTCCTGCACGTCGAGCCGGAACCCCGGTTACCCGTTAGGTTCTCCGCAGCATGAAACGAGTACTTCGGTGGATCGATGGAGTACAACGATGTTGGATTTAGACATTCGGCATTCATTCACTCAAAAAAAAACAGACGTTCTTGAAATTTAATATTGTAACAGAACGGAGAACGTGTTGTTTTTTCTTTTAATCAGTTTTTTAAATTTTTTTTTATCCTTAGCGCAAACAAGGTACAATGTTACACTCTGAATGAACAAAAAATTAAAGGTATAAAAGTATAAGATATCAGTCGGTTCACTCGAATGAATTCACCCCAGTGAATGTTTCATTTATCTTTCATTCTATGTTCAGACTTTAGTAGAATGACAAAGAAATGAACATCACCACATTATTTTAAATATAGTAGGTAAAATATAGTCATCAAGTGATGTCGTGCGTCTCGGAATTAGTTTAATGTGTGATATTTATCCGCTTGAATGCACCGATATGATACACAATAGAAAATACATTGTCTCTCGCGTGGATCTGCGTTTAGACACACGACTGGTTAATCCAAAGGAACATTAATACTGGTGACCATTTACGCTACGATAATTAGAAGCTGAGCAGTAGATGAAACTGCGCAAGACTAGCTAGTCACTGCATGGGTGCCCACTGAAAATCAGTGCTGGGTGACTTGTATGCCTGGCTCATACTGAGTGGGTGACCCTTTTAGCATAGGCATGTTGTCAGCGTCTCTTTTCTAATTCTTCCGTTTTAATTTTTCAACTCTTTTTATTACTTCCACTGATTCACACCTTGATTATCTTTTTTATATTTTATTTATGCTGCATCGTGACTGGTGCTAAATAAATGTTTTTTCTTTCTTTCTTTCTTTCTTTCTAGTGACAAAATAACTATAACATACCGCTAACGATGCGCCGCATATCTCGCAGATGTGTCGTTCTTCATCTTTGGTTGGTAGAGGCTCGTCCTTATGTTCAGCGCTATGATGCTTCATGTACGCAGCTAAACTTGGGAAGTTTTTGTTACACTGAAAAAGAACAAGATTGTATAACTCAAGTGAAGGAAGTGGGGGGGGTGGGGGTGTCATAATCCCTACACTTTGGCTTTTCACTTGGGTGCTGGACACTCTTTATTTTTAGCGCTGACTCCAAGTGCAGGAGTAGGAAAAGGGTGGTTTATGGTCAGTAAGAGTCTGCAGAGAGTACCAATGTAGTAAGAGTAACATTCTCTCTCGACACACCTGGGCGGCAGAAGCCAATGAACGATGTTCGCCTTTCAAAAAAGAAATCCCCACGTTTGGTAGGTGGCTTGGAGATCGCAGTAAGGTGACCAATGTTTTTATGCAATGCTGCTGTCCATTCCTCAGAGGCTGATCGTAGTCGGGTCGTATAATTATATAGCTGTCTTGACTTTTCTTTTTAATTTTTATACGCGAAGAAATAAAGTTTTGGGTACCGCAACAGAAAAAGATAGAACAAATATTTATTACAACATCGTTCTAATATTAAAATGTATTATTAATTACTAGTTGACCCGGCAAACTTAGTTCCTCCTAATGTTTTCTCTCCTTTTAAACCTTCCCTGAACTTCCACGAACATTTCAAGACCAAAATTGGCCAAATCGGTTCAGTCGTTCTCGAGTTTTAGCGAGACTAACGAACGGAAATTCATTTTAATTTATATAGATAAAGGCGTACTGTTGCTCAACTAGTTTCTAACCACGGTAGGGGCTCATAGTTTTAAACATCGTTGTTCGAGAAACGACGTGACTAGCTCAGTCTATTGGAGAAATAACGAATAGGTATAAAGAATAGAATAGAATATAATAGATCATTTATATTTGCTATGAATGTAGGTACAAATTATTAGGTGTTACAAAATTTTAAGGTTCCTTGTACATTCTACCTTAATTGGCATGCAAATATACATTTGAAAAGAATTTATCAAAACTTATCATCCAAGAACTCTTGTACTGAATAATAACACTTGTGCAAAAGTAATTCTGTAACATGCTTCTTAAATTTAGTTAGTGATTGTTCCTTGATATTATTCGGTAACTTATTATAAACAATTGGTGCCATACAAATAACACTTTTCCTTAAAAGAGATGTTTTAAAAACACCCGTGCTTAAAAGATTTTTGTATTGAGATCTAATGCTTATTGTTCTATTTCGAGTTTCTTTCAAGGTGGTAAACAAGTGCGATTAACAAGAATACTTACAATGTTACAGGGTGTCATTTTCCGTGGATTCCTTCTAAAGAACTTCTTCCTTCTTTTAGGTATTGATACAGCTGAGCTGTCGCAAGCAAGATCCCTGACAACAACAATAATTTACATTAACTGTATTGAGAGTCTGGGTTCGAAATTCGAAACCTACCAACGGCACGTATCAGTGTGATTTTAAGCCCCGGTTTCCTTAAGATGATTTCTTTCACCGTTTGTCAGTGGTGTCTAAATAATCTTAGAAAGTAATTATAACCCGAAAAAGGACACATTGGTACTTGCCACTGTAGGTTTCGAACCCTCCGGGCCACCACGACAGTTATAATAGGTATACATCTCGATTTATATATTACTAGCGACCCGCCCCGGCTTCGCACGGGTGCAATATGCATGTATTATACACATAATCCATCCTTAAGAATCACTATCTATTATAAAAAAAACCGCATCAAAAGCCGTTGCGTAGTGTTACAGATCTAAGCATACATAGGGACAGATAGACGGCGGATAGCGACCTTGTTTTATACTATGTAGTGATGTAACTTACTCGGATCCTTCGGTGTGTTTTGCTGAGTGATACAAATGTTCTTCATACGCCTTCCGGGTTTCAAATCTGATGTCACACCGCGAACAGTACGTGTTCACCTCTTCTTCGTCTCGATTCTAGAAGATTAGACATGGAACTTAGTTTATCTTATACTTTCATCATCATCAACAGCCTGTTTTAGTCCACTGCTGGACATAAGCCTTTCCAATAGCACGCCAGTGAGCTCGATCTTCAGCTTTACGCATACCAACCACTATCAGCCAATTTACGTATATCGTTGCTCCACCTAGCTGGCGGTCTCCATTCCAGAACACGTATACCCCAACGGTCATCGGTTCTTCGACAAATGTGACCGGCCCACTGCCATTTCAGTTTGGTAATCCTTTGGGCTACATCGGTAACTTTAGTTCTCTGTCGGATCACCTCGTTACTGAGCCTATCCTTCAGCCTTCTCAATGGCTCTTATACTTTACTAGTATTCAAAATGCTAGCTTGTGTGTTTATGTGTATGTTTATTACTCAATTTCGTTAAAATGGCTGAAGGCATCGGGATATAATTTGGAATAGGGGTAGGTACATTTTGGTTTGGAATAACATATAGGCTAAGTAGTTAGTTTTTTTTTCTTTTGCAACCGAGTCTCCAATATGATGTTGTCGACTATACAAGTAGTTAGTTTTTATCCCACGGGATTTTTTTATATATTTATGCCGACGTTTGACCACAATCTCAACGAACGAATGAATAAAAGAATGCGAGCAAATCCGCTGGCAGAATTAATAAAAGTATTGTTTTTTTTTTACATATTGGGGTAATGGATATTATTATCAGTGTGGGAGAGCTATACTAAGGTAGGAAGGTACAGAAAAGCGGCGATAAACAACCGAAACAGCCATTCCAGTGCGGCTACTGGAGGCCAAGTCTCCCTTTCCACTCATTAAATCCCGAACTACAACGCTTCATTAGTTCCACGTTGGTTTTCTTCAGGATGATAAGATTTTTGGGGGCAAGATTTTGTTTCATAATATTCAACCTTATGTCTATTTACTAATCGTCTATAATCACTTACAACGACTGTAGTAACGTGCATGGTCCGTTTGTGCATGTTGAGTCCGTTGTTACTCACGAAGGAGGCGCCGCACAGAGTACACACGTGCTCGCTGCGGTGCGTGCGCAGGTGCGTGTAGTACGTTGATAAATGTCTGGGACGAAATAAACTTAATATTTTTTATGTTAAACGATTTTAATGAGGTCTATTCTACCAATCACCGTGTATACCGACGTGAACAACGTTTGTGTTGTGTTTCGTCGTGAGAGTGAGGTTACCGGAGGCCCAATTACCTCAATCCCCGAATCCCCCACAATCCACAAGTTCCCAATTTCAAAAAGGCCGGTAACGCACTTGTAACGCCTCTGGTGTTTCAGGTGTCCATGAGCGGCGCAGATTGCTTACCATCAGGTGATCCGTCTGCTCGTTTACCGGCTTATCCCATGAAAAGTAATCAAGTCATTACGTTTGATTTCCATGACGGAAGCAGTTGTAGAAAAAACGTTTTAGGAAACGTTGTTGAATTCAATAGACGGCCAGGACTTTAGGTTTTTTTTAAGCAATAGCTGTCAAGTTTTATGGGGTGCAAAAGTCAAGCGATTTCGTTCGCCCCATCGCGAGATCCCACTGAGACAGTCTTTAGCCAAATTCTCCATTTAAATAAACTTGTAATCATTACCTGAATTCTTCGCCGCAATGCATACATTTCCTGATCACACCATTGTGATATTCATTGTGAAACAATGCTGTGTTCCTGTAAATAAAGACATGAAGTTTGTCACAGAAGGGAGGAGCTCATTTCTTTTAATGAACTGCTGTTATAAGATAGTCAAAAACATTTTTTTTTTCTCAAACACAACCACTGGCGGATTAATCCTAGAAAGCGTCCTATACAAGCACCTCATAGGCGCCCCTAACTTGCCACCACTATGGGCAGTGCATCTCACGGCGCCCTTCTGGAAACTGGCCTAAGGGATAATACGGCTTTGAGAACAGTGTTTAAACTGTCAAACACCACGCTGTCACCGGTGACCATAACCTATTGTTCTTTAATTGTGTCTATAATGAAGTAGTACTCAAAGAGTTAAAAGCATTTATATGTAGAGTAATGACTTTCAAAGGCAATGTTACTAATATTTTTCTGCACATACATAACATCACGCCTTTTTAATCCCTACGGGGTAGGCACAGGTGCTCATTATGGCACTTAATGCCACTGCACAATGTAACACCCACTTTTCACTATTTATTTTGAGTCTCATGTAATAGGCCTAGTGTCATATACCGGGCACAATTGCAGCCTCCGTGCTCATAGTGAGAATTTTTTAAACCCAGTAATACTCTGCCAGACCCGGGAATTGAACCCGAGACCTCTTGCCCGGGACGCATTGCGACCACTCGGCTAACCAAGTAGGTTTCTGAACAATCAAGTAGATAAAAATTCTCGAGAATAGGATTTAATAATGAAAAAAATAAATACATACTTCAAAGGACATATGAGATCACACCGTAGACATTTGTACTTAGTATAGTGCTGCGTAATATGCCTGGTTAGATAACATTTCCGTTTGAATCGCATGTGGCAGAAACGACAGACTATTGGCCCTACAGACTGAAAAAAAAGATAATAATTAATTTAGTATGTCTCGCGAAAATTTTAATATAAAAAAGATGTAATTATCTAAAAAAATGTTTAAAAAAAATTCATAGTCGAAAAAGCCCTAAGCCCCTAATAGTGCCGAACCCAGCTATCACACCCGGCTGACTAGGCTAAACGTCCATGTAATCCGCACGTCATGCACACGCTTTCATGAGTTGACGATTCCAAAAAGATGCTTGCAATTTATATCAAAACAATTAAAACTGTGTCCACGTAGCGGCATTGTTGCCTAACTCATCCTCATAGAAAACAACCTATCATCATTTGTAGGTTGTATCATGTATGCTTTTGACAAATGACGCATCGTGCACACTAAGGTCTCATGTAGAAGACACCGTGCCGCGATGCTGTCGGCGCGATCTTCTCCCGCGCACGCCGCCTTGGCGGAATGGAGGCGGAATTTTCAAATCTCACGAGACCGCTGTTTTATGCGGTCCCGCAGCGCCGCGGGTGCGATTATAGACCGCAAACCTGGCGGTTAATTATCGTAAGACGGGTGAGCGGTTAAACAATCAGTTGAGTTCCTGTATTCTACAAAGGCTGCGGTCCGCAACTGCGGCGGGCGTGGGAGAAAATCGCGACGTGAGTCCTTAACCACACGTTGCGCAGCGTATACACCTAAGACATATAGCAGGTAAAACTCACCTCACAATGTCTTAATTTAAAATGTCTATTCAGCATATCCTCTTTAGAGAATCCCTTATAACAATCATTACATTGATACGCCGCAGACAAGTACTTGCGGTCTTTTGCCCTCGCTGTAAAGCCTTCTAAAGCCTCCTCTTCGCTTAAATTAATCTTTAACCAATGATTGGGATCTAACTTACTATCTTCTGTACTTAAAACCTCAAATTTTTTAGTTTTTACTTCTACATTCTTCTTTTTTGCTTTCCTTCTTTTGTGGATTATTTTATTTTCTTCAATTTCCGTATTATAATTGTTCTCTAAGTCAATATTATTGTCTGTTGCAGATTCTTCTTTTATATCTTTAAAGTCATTTAATTCTTCTGTTTGTTTCGATTCTTCTATGTCTTCATTGTCATCGAAAATATCATCAGTTTCTAGACCTGTTATTACATTTTCAAAATCATTATTAATCTTCTCTTCAGCCATTTTGCATTCTTCTTTTTCGTATAATATTTCATTTTTTATTTCTGCTAAGTTTTTACTGTCCACAGAAGAATCACTATCATAGTCTATTTTGAGTTCCGGTTCGACATTTTTGATTTCTTTTTTGAATAACTTTAATGTTTTGCTCTTTATTGTGTAAGTCCTAACTCTTTTGTTTGTAGAAAGTATGTTTATAGAAGACTTTAAGTTGTTGCTCTCTCTGTCTATTTTAGATATAGATAATAGAGTAATCTGTAAAGAATTGGTTTATATGATAACTTTTTACACAAGTAGGTTGATGTATGACAAAGTATGATTTATATTTTTTTAAGAATAACACATAACCCATAGATCCCCAAGCGGTCACCCGTGACCGCTCTCCACTAATATTACATTACATTATAGACCTTATTTCCAATGTTTAGAGACTACTTTTGTATGACCAAATTTAGGGGATGGTTTTCAACGGGATAAACAATAAATACTTACAGGTCCATTCCACAATAATTCAGTAAGAGCATGCTCGCCTCTGTGACATTTTTCCTTGAACTTATGGAACTTGTACAACATGCCAGCACATTCATAACAGAAGCAGTTTGGCAGACCATCTTGCTTATTTATCTGTGCAATCAAAAATTAAAACAAAAATAGTAATGATAAAAATAGTTTTAACCGTGCAGGTTTAACTGTACAGTAAGTTCATTTTTAAACGGGCTGCAGAATAGACATCAAAATGAAGTAGAATAGAATTTCTTGTTTGTTCTTTATCAAGGGCATAAATAGTTAATGTATATGGAAATTTATTAATTCTATTGAGTTAAGGGATTGTAATAATAAATTCTTTTCTAATGTCAATGTTTTTGTTTACAAAAACATATTGATCTGGTATTCTAAGGGCATTTGTATATTTCAGAAGCATCTAAAACGTCTAAATATTTATATACTCAGTTTGGCATCGATCCAGGCTAGTTTAAGGCCAGTTGGTGGAAATTAAAGTCTATTACTCTTACTTGAGTGGACTAATTGAATCAAACGATTTGTATACGAAATTAGAATATTAGTAGTCGTTTTTAAGCGAAATATACTCAGGTATTGTGTTATCTAGGTACAATGTTGAGTAATAAATAAAATAAACGATCAAAATGATTTAATTACTTACTTTTTTCCCTAAAACTTCTTCATAATATTGCTTTAAATGAAAACGATCGTAACTATATATTTTTACGTCTTTATTACACAAGCATATGCGACACACATTGATATCAGACATATTAAATAATTAATACTACGTTTTAATGTATTGTTTAATATAGAATTCTATTCATTTAACAATAAGATAAGTCAAATGAAACAAATTTTTAATGTATTGTTTAATATAGAATTCTATTCATTTAACAATAAGATAAGTCAAATGAAACAAACAAATAGTCAGAATTTTAATTAGATTCCAGATTTGACAATAGCTACTGTCATTTTGTGAAATAATGATACCACATATAATAGTGTAGTGATGCACACAAAAATCGATAAACAATCAGTGTGTGTGTTTTATAATAAATGTTACAGAAAGTGACAGGATAGCGATAGCGATGACGGCGACAATTTATAAAATAACTTATTAATATAATACATCTATCTGTTTTATTTGTCATGTTCCTTCATGATTACATTTTTTTATTTAATTCACACACAATTATAAAAGAAAAGTCTCAGATCGTTAATTAATCGTCAAAACTGAATTATCGGTTCAGAAATATTTCATTTCCTGATATACTTAGTTTACGAGAGTAATATTATAAACGAGAAGAATCGATCCAGAAATATTTCATTTCCATATCGAATAATTTCGCAACGTCACTATTTAGTACTTGTCATAACGTTGCAACACTGAAATTGTCAAATCTGGAATCGAATTAAAATTCCGAGTATAGCTCAGTATTTTTTTTTTTTTTTTTTTTTTTTCGTCTTTGGCAACTGAGTCTCCACTACGATGTTGTCGACTATACTGCCAGTGTCGAGTGGTGACGGCAGTTAATGCACCGTCGAACTTTAACTTTCTGGTAGTTGTTAGTAACTGGAAGAGACAAAAACAATTGGGTTAGTAAACATATACCGTCAATAGACCTAAAATTATAATATTATTACCTAACACCAGATAAATAATTAAATAGAAACAATCATAACACACAATATTTACATAAATACACACCGTTATATTTTAATACAATTTTCTTTAATAAATTTGGACAAGCACTTAATTAATTTGGGAGAAAAATTTGTTAGGAGGGAGTGGAAGTTGATTGGAAGAGGGATTTGGATTTTGGGAAGGTTTCCATATAAATCGAAGGATTGGGAATTTAGAGGGCAAGAGAAAAATATGTGGTCTAGGGTTCCCTCATCGAGGCCACATTCGCACAGCGAGTTGTCACGTACACGGATCTTGGCAAGGAATACCGGACTAGTACAGTGGCGAGTCTGAGTCTGCACAAGGACGAAATAGTTTGTCTGGGAAGCTTCTTATACTTGGAAAACCAAGGTTTCCGCCGGATGTCGGGCTGGATACTTGCAAAGTAAGCTCCTTTACGCTTGGAGGAGTCCACCCACACTGCAGCCCACGAGTCGAAAAGCTTGAGTTTGGTATCCGCGCGTATGTCATACCCATACACAATGTAGTGGTGACGTTCAACATTATTCACGGCCGCAAACTTTGCCAATCTGTCAGCACACTCGTTACCGCATATACCAGAGTGGCCAGGGATCCAGGCGATCTCGATATTTAGTCCGTCGTTTTGGCAGGAGAAAAGTAAAGATTTTATCTGTATTATCAGACTACTATGAGTCCGGGAATAAAGCTGGTCTTGACCGAGCGCTTGTAAACTACTTAGAGAGTCTGAGAAAATAACTGAGTTTCTGAGGTTGTGCGATTCAATGAATTTAATGGACTCCAGAATGCCGACACATTCCCCAGTGAAGACAGAGGCTTCAGGGGGACACTTGGAGAGCAGAGCAATTCTTGAGTTCTGGTAATATGTTGCCACTCCTGTGCATCCGTTTCGGGTCAATTTGGATGCGTCCGTGTAAAACACATTCCAGCCGTTCCAGTAATTGCTCAGCGCGCGTTCAAAATCACCTTTAGCGTCCACTGATGTCTTTGAAATGCCCAACCCCAGAACTAGCTTTGGCCTAAAGTGAATGACCTCGTATGCGGAAGAAAAAACCGGGAGAATAGGGAATTGACTGATAGGTGCAGAGAGGTTTTTAAGCTCCCTATACCTAGCAATCACAGGTGGGACAGGTTTATTATTCCAATATGGAGAGGAGTCATAAGAACTGTGGATTTGCTCAAGGATAGGAAGGAGGGGATGAGAAGAGCGGGTAAGGACTTTAGAAACGAAACGATCTGCCAGGTATTGTCTTCGAAGGTCAAAGGGGGGTTCTGCACATTCAACCTGGAGAGCGTTTATGGGGGATGACTTCATAGCTCCAATAATTATTCTTAGGCATTTGGCCTGAATGGAATCTAGCTTTTTAAGTGCTTCCTTATTGCAAGGTGCCATAAGGAAGCAGCAATAGTCTATCACACTTCTGACCAACGCATTATATATGAGCTTTAATGTGTAGGGGTGAGCACCCCACCATACCCCAGCTAATGCTCTGAGTACACATACTGACCGTTCGCACCTTCTAACTACTGTTTCCACATGATCAACCCCCGACATCCTAGAATCGAGGATAACGCCCAGGAACCTAGCCTTCCTCCCAACTGGAATAGGTTGGCCGTCTATCTCTATAAGAGTGTCCGGAAGGCGCCGTCTGCGTGAAAAGATGACAGCTGAGCTTTTTGGGGCGCTTAAAGATAACCCATGATTAAGAAGCCATTGGTATAATGAGGTCAAAGAGACATTCATGGAGGCGGTAGCGTCTGTTATAGAGCAGCTAGTGACCATTAATGCGATATCGTCAGCATACTGGAGGACTTTGCAATCATAATTTAGACAAGAAGGGAGGTCGTGGGTATAGATATTATATAGGATGGGACTAAGGACTGACCCCTGAGGTAAACCCCTCCAGGCGGTTCTCTGTGTAGGGTTATCCTCAGGAGTTCTCAGTTGAAGGGTACGGTTGGAAAGGATGCAGCCTATAATTTGGCAAATCCTACTCGGGATTCTCAGCTCCTGCAATTTCTGCCTGAGAAGGGGTAGGAGGACAGAGTCATAGGCCGACGAGACGTCCAGAAAGACCGCCACCAACGACTCATTCCTGCTAAGGGCCAGTCGGATGGCTGACGTGAGGGTACCCACACTATCAGCCGTACCCAGACCTTTCCTGAAGCCGAACTGAGCCGCCGGGAACAGCCCCCGGCTCTCCATCGACCATTCCAACCGGGTCTTTATTAGGTGTTCAAGGATTTTGATAAGTATGGACGATAGGGCAATAGGTCTGTAAGACGAATGGTCACCAGGATCCTTGCCAGCTTTTAACAGCGGCATGATAACCTGAACCTTCCAGATAGGAGGAATATAGCCGAAAGTAAAACAGAAATTGACTAAGTCAAGGTAGTACTGCTTGGTTTTGGCTCCTGCTTTAACCAAGAAGGAGTAAGGAAACCCATCAATGCCTGGTGCGGAATCCTTTACATGATTAAGGACCATTTGGAGCTCTCGTGAATTCTCATGTTGACCCGGACAACATTCATCCTCGCCAGGGACATACAGTGGAGCAATGTTGGTGAAGAAATTGTGGCTCAGACCTTCAGGCAAAATGGAAATTGAAGGAGGCTTCGAAGAATTTCTGAAGCTCTTCACTCTCCGCCACACTGTTGCCACCGGCGTGGACGGGCTTAGGGAACCACAGAATCTCTGCCACCCCTGTCTCTTCTTCTTTTTAAACAGTTTTCTTGACCTAGCCAATATCTGCTTGAAATTAAGGAGATTTTCCAGGCTCATGTCGTGGTTATATGCCTTTTCAGCCTCATTCCTGGCTCTTATCATGGCAGTACATTCACTATCCCACCAAGGAGGGGAAGGGATTTTGCCTTTTGGTGTGCTTTTCACTGGGAAGCAATCTTCAGCTGTGGAAGCTATCAACTCAGAAAACTTTGAAAAACACTCCAAAGCATTCTGGTTATCAATGGGTGGGAGAGAAGAAATGCGGAAGTCTAATAATTTTGAATACAGGTCCCAATCTGCTTTTTCTAATCGATATTTTAATAGAGGGGGGAGGGATTTATCAGGAGTGGATTTGGAAGGATTTTTGATTATGATGGGATAGTGATCGCTACCATAAGTCATATTCAAACAGCTCCAGTTCAGCATGCTTGCCATATTAGATGAGCAGAAGGTTAAGTCCACACAACTGCTTCTTTGTCCAAATGCAGATCTACGGGTCGGGCTGCCGTCATTAATATTACATAGGTTGAGCTCATCCATCATTTCAACGAACTTGCTGCCTATGTTGTCGCATAAATCCGAACCCCATCTATAATGATGACAGTTGAAGTCACCCATTACGAATAATGGACCACTGACTGACATTAATAAATTTTTAATTAAAGCCAAATGAGTAACAAGAGGGTGCGCAATATAAAACATAAAAAAATTTATATCCTCAGCCTTAACAGCGACAACATTTATGTCATCGCCGACGAAGGGTAAAGGAATCTGGGTGAAGGGTACTTTGTTGTTAACTAACAAAGCACAACCTCCATAACCATCAGATCTGTCCTGTCTGACAATGCTGAAGCACGGGATCCCGAAATTGATATTCGGTCGGAGCCATGTCTCAGCAAGTCCACAAATCGATGGTTTGAATTTATTAACTAAATGTATCAGGTCACTCTTCCTGGGAAGAGTACTCCTCACGTTCCACTGAAGAATTGTAAGTGGGTGGAATTTTATATATGTAGTCTAGGATAGTAGCTAATCTATGGGCGACGTGGTCAGGTACATTTTGATTAGGGTTAGATAACACTGCCATGAGCATGCTGGAAATTACATCTAAAATGTTAGAGCTACGAGTGTTGGTTCCGGATTCCACAGGGAAGCGCAACCATTCTGGGATGGAGAAAAAGAGTAATCATGGATAAGGGCCTGATGGGCCTTCTTATCATAGCCGGGAGAAAGAGGAGCATGGGATTTGGGTTTGACAAAAACTGTTTTTTTGTAAGACTGTCTTTGTGGGGATGGTTTTTTATTTGGTGTTGATTGAATGTAATTGATAGACTTGGATTTAGAAACCTCGGCATAAGATTTTTTGACCGCAGGAAACACA